AACACCTTTCCCGGGAAGGGGTTGGCCTTGTTGTTGGCGATGTCGTCGTAGTGGAAGACAATGATGTTTTCATCGGGAATGCCCCGGGACTTCACGATTTGGTAGGTGTGGTAGATGTCCGACTGTTGCCCCAGGTCAGAAAAATTATGTTAGCATATCAAGTTTAAATGTAGTAAGCTGGCTATGTGAATGTTACCTGGTGTCTATAGTTGCCCCAGGTGTTTGAGCCGGCAACTAGCACCACCCAGCTATTACCGTTAAACTCATTGACTGGCAATGAGTTTACGGCTAATACGAGCACCGATAGCAAGCACAGGACTTTCATTTTGCGAGTATAATATACTTACGAACAATAAATATATTAATTCATTTACAATGAAACTGGCTATTTATATACCTGTCGCATTCTTAGTGCTTATAGGTTCTAGGTCATACTTATCAGTATTAATATACCCCATACTGTGTTGTGACAAACCTCATGATTTGATTAAACACTTTATGGGAACTTTGATACGGGATATGTCTGTATGTAATATTTGCTAGAAACTAATATTATCAATGTGAATTGTGTAATAAGAAATGTATTTAGAAAAATATTATTTGTACATGAACTGATTGCTAGCATAATAAGCTCACGTAAACTTGAAATTATTTTTATAATTCGATAAACCTGCCATTTAAAACATTGCACTTTAAAAGGGACAAGTGCTAATTTTATCTACCTAATTTGTACCATCGTGACTGATGCTCTAAAAGTGATTAATTTACTAAATAAGTGCATAATTATGTCAAAATTCCCTTGTTACTTTAAACATGTATTCCATATGTATTTGTAAACTTAACGTTAGTAGTTAATCTAAATATGCTAGAATAAATATTACCAGTGTTAATTACTTTGACTGCAGTATTACTAATTATTTATGAACTGGCTATGACATTCTTTTATGTAATACTTATTGAACTGTTCCTAGATTTTTTTATAAAATGTTACCTGATGCACTTAAAAATAACAATCGTACCAATAAAAATCTATTCTGAATCATTATGTTTATAATTTATATTTACACAAGGACTATTTTACGTCAAATCTAAGATATTGTAATTAAAAATAATATTTATCTATATTAATGGTACGTAATCATAAGTATCATTAGTCATTAGTTACAAAGATGTTTTCTCCTAGACTTTAGGTCTAGAGTATATTAATTAGCAGGGTATAATAACGATATAGTAAAACAAATAGAAATTATTGCATAAGTATAATTGTTTAGGACATTTGTAGTTGTATTCCCACTAGGCAAGTAAAGTTATAATATTAAATAATATTAATTAACATTTTATAAATAAATGACAGTTTGTATTATTAAATTTTAGAAATTATTAATTTTTTTGTGTTAAATATTAAGCATAAAAATATAAATTTTAAATCTTAATTATAATATGATTTTACAAAAAAAATATCTGTCAATGATATCAATTTGTTTTAATTAACGTTTGATTTTTATAATCGAAACAATTGTTTAATATTTTTTGGTTTTTAAACATTTTATATTTTTTTGGATTTTTGTAATGCAAACAAATAATGATATAATGAATAAACAAATTAAATATAGAAAACAAAGTATTTTTAAAGTAATGAGTGAATGGATGTAATTAATGTCTAATTGCGTTAACATTATANTTATATTTTTTTGGATTTTTGTAATGCAAACAAATAATGATATAATGAATAAACAAATTAAATATAGAAAACAAAGTATTTTTAAAGTAATGAGTGAATGGATGTAATTAATGTCTAATTGCGTTAACATTATAATTATTGACAGATATTAATAGTGATATTTTGACATTTTTATAATTAATCACACATTTGCCAATTAATTAATTTACAGCTTTTAAATAAAAAAATTGTTTAATAAGAGTATTATTTGTGAATATATTTTACTAACAGTTCAAG